TTTGTATCCGCCGCGTGGACGTCTGTGGTGAGAATAAACAGGGTTCCGTACAGGACGACAACGTAATGTTTCAGAGTTGCTCCGACGACTGAAGACATTTTTGCAGAATCTTCAGGAAGGCTAGTGGTGTCAAGTTGGCACACCAACGACACAAGGCGTTTCTTCTTGAAACCCACCGACTGATGCTTGTACGAATGTACGGATCCCGTCTTGCCTGTTGCACCAAGGCTCTCAAGGTGCCGATCTGATCTTATTTGTTTGAAGGATTGACTCCCTCTGAGAGGGGTATAGGTCCGATACACACAACGCGCGAAATGTTGGCGATCACGTGGTAACCACCAGGTCATGGGATCGATCCTTACTCGGATGGCCTTTTTTCCCCGAAGGTGACTTTTTTTCTACCAAAAAACATTTTTTGGTTCTCCCCTACGTTCTTTGCTCCTCATTTGCGCCACCCTCACGCTATTCTCCCAGTCCTCACCGAAGACGAAGGACCAACACTTGCCAATGGCGGTCAATAGATTTCAACGAAAAAAACAAAAACAATCGGGAATATTTATTCTGGGGCCTGGAACAAAAAGGACACACTCGACTCCTTAGTGACGATGTTGGTTTGAAACATGAGCATTCTCGTTTTGTTCCTGAGGCAGCGCGTATCCTACGCGAACACATCAAGTATATTGTCAAGAAAAGGACCACAGATATCACCGAAACTACAAACCGACTCGAAATCCGTTTTTCCGATCCGGCCCTGCATTCCCGCACTGAGTGTACTTTTTTTATTTCTCAAATCACGTACAGCCGAACTCGTATCTGATTTGTGCCCAATGTGCGCCCTCCAGTCGTCGGGGGTGAAAAACAACATAAACACACACAAACATGTGGTCACGGCCCCTCAACTCCCTAACTGCCCCCCCCCACACCCCACTCCCCCATCAATGTACACATCGCCCCCCACTCCAGCTATGTGTACTCATCCTCGCCAGCTATCCGGAACGACAAATGCTGGTCGGAGTAAGGCCAGGCTCTCGTCGTCGTCTATCCCCGCTCGTGGTGAGAAGTAGCGCAACATTTTCTGAAGTTGCATCTTGTTGTACTTGGACGGCGGGTTGCCACCGCATTCTTTGATGTACTCTCTGAGGTCGGGGACCCTCAAACTCCGCCAAGCGCTCGAGCCGATAATCCGGTTAAGCTCCAGCTGGCGATCTCTCTGCGCGACAGTGTAGACATTGATCGGCCTGGGTGCCTTTGGTTGTTTCGTGGTCGACCCCTTACCGCAACCCCCGCCTTCAACTTGTCTCTTAGCGCCATCTCTGCTTTGCGGTTTTTTAAGCGCTTCTTCAGGTTCGTCAGTTCATTCGTGAACGCGAACATGCGGCAATTGTGCCACTTCTTCAAAACGAAATCGAACAGGTCGTCACGTTGCTTTGTGCACCCCTTCCCCCCTTTGGGTCCGAGGTGAGGGTCTTCCACGAGACCCACACACTTGACCATGCCGCCTTGACTGGCTCAGCCGTGGAAATCACCCTGTATATTTCCGACGGCAAATCACCCAGATACGTCGCCAACAGGGTGGGGTTGAGCAATGCCGACCTATACCCCATCTCTAGTGCACGCACGAAAAGATAGAAATCAGCTGAAGCGAAAATGAGACCCTTCCTTTCCCACGGGTTGTTCCTCTCCTCGACCACGAATTCCAAGCCACTGAAATGAGGGTCGGCCTCCCGGAACTCCTCAGCGGATGCAACTTTGTGGCTGCTGACAAATGGCAAGAACGCCGAACCGAGAGAACGCTGTTTGTTCACGCGCGAAAGGGCGCTACTTAAAAGCCACCCAGCAATGTTGTACACAAGACGCCGTTGATGAACATCCAGTTCAACGTCGCGGGCAGGACACGCCACTTTGACGAGATGGGCCTCGTCCAAACATTGCGTGAGGGTCTTGTCAACGACCTGCTCGGAATATGTATCACGGGGGGGGTGTAGCGGGTTGATGGATCATTGTCACGCCCAAATACAAAAACACCCTAAACACCAAACGAACTGGTACACCGGCAAGATTCTCGCGCCCATACGACTCTACCTTCCTTCCACGTGCCAACCATTCGAGGCAGACTCACCTCGTCGATGGCCCCGAACACGCAAGTGAGTGTGTGAGCGACACGCCGACTCTCCACTCCTAGCTCTTGAGCCTTGCGGACGATGCTCGGCTCGGTTCTGAACTCCAGTTGCTTCGGAAAGCGCTCGTCCTCCAGCTGCTTCTCGTACGCTAGTGCGCGCTTCGACGAAGGCGGTTGTTGGATTTTTTACCAGAACCCCCCACCACCCAAGAATCGCGCCCTTTACTCCCTGAACCAAGAGTAAACGTACGACGATATGCTTGAACTGCTTGTCTTGCCCTAGCCAATGTTCCCGGAGATGTTGCCCAACCAAGCTCACCACCCTCTGGCCTGTCGGGAGCTTGCTGATGATGAAGTCGGCCAGGGCTGCATAGGTCTATCGTGCAAGGAGCATACAACGAGCATGGCGGCGACAGCTGAGAACAACGCATATTTATGATTGCTTTCATGGCGCCCCTCTCCTTTCATGGTTGATGGTACCGAGCAAGGTCATCTTAACCGGAATCTGGAGAGACCCCAGAAAAAACACGATGTTAGCGCGAAGTCGAGACGGTGGCGGCCTTCCCTTCTCACCTGCTGTTCGGCTTGAGGAGTATCCGTCTCTTCTGCTTTTGCTCTTCATCCTCCTCCTCCTCATCTTCCCTTGTGAATGCATCCAGGCATTCATACAGGCGGTCGAAGTCCTCGGAACCTTCATCGTCTTGATCAATACCCTTGATGCCTGTGTCACATACGAAGAATTTACGCGCGCGGGGGTGGGGGGGGTGGGAGGCACACATGCCTAAGGTGTCAGTGAGCAACCGTAATCTATTCCCTATAAGCCGGAGATGGTCTTGGTGTGCCTTACCCGCGTGACGACCGCCCAGCCTCCAGGGTACCGCTACCATTGAAGACTCCTCATCACAAGGCAGCGATTGGGTCTGCTTGACAAAAGTCACGAGCTGTGCGGCGAAGAGTTCTTACCGCGCATAGACTCCGAGCGAGCCATGTATCAATATGTCGTTGTCACTGAACCCTTATTCTTTTCCGGTGTGCTACTGCTGTCCCGTAAGCGCAGGTAGCCCGATGTTGACCAACAACCACTTGCTGTAGTCAGCTTGAGCAGCAGCTTGCCGAGTACCACCAACTGCGCAATATTATTCGTGTAACCCTCCCACGGTTACGCCCGGACTTCGGTTCTCTGTACGTTTACCATGTAGCAGACATAAGGTTGTTCAATATCCATTCGGGTAACCTGTACAGAAAGAGCAACCTATATCCGTTACCCGATAGCGATCAAGCGGTTTGTCACACTCTCTAGAACGCAGCTGCAAATACCCAATAGAGGCCACCTAGCATTCATAGCAAGCTCCTGATCAGCACATCAGGTTCAGCACTCACAGTGGGTGGCAATAGCTAGGGTACGGCTCAGTCAATCTTTCGCTTCAGGGGCGGGGTTGACAAGTAAACACTTGGCTTTAGATGGGGGCAACCGCCGAGGAAGAGGCCTTTGCCTCCAGGGGACCCCTCCTGTCCAGCAGGCTGGATCGGGAAACATATTGGTCTGTCTGATTCCCGATCATGTCAGCCTACGCCCTCCGGATACTAGCGACCATGCGAGGTGTCTATGATTATTTCGAGAACCGGTGGGGACGACCGGCCGGAACAGTATTATCCAGATACTCCAGTTTCTACACGGGATCACGTATCTACAGTAGCTAGGAACCAATCGAACCCCCGAAAGCGACGTCGAGAACTTGTGGACTGACGTAGATGGCAGGAACGCATCACTGCGTTTCAATGACAACGTCGGATTACAACAGTGGGTAGCAGATACAAAAACAAGAAATACCCCACAGACCGCCAAGAGGGGGTCAGTCTGTTTCCGCACGCGTGCGGGAAGCGACTGGTGTAGAAGGTCAACGAGGCTGGTCGTTTCCCGACTCCAATGTGCAGTCACGCAAATCGTTCTCGACGCAGGGTCCCACGATTGACAGCAGGAGCAAAAACGACTGCAATCGAAATGACCACTATTCTCGGTCCGGCTATATGTACGTTATACCGTATATGACACAAGATAACACACCCCCTGGACCGATTTTCAAAGCTCGATTACTCCACGACGAAGAGGATGCATAAACGAAACGATACATTTTCGAAAACCTCTCGACGAGACGGTTCCAACGCGGCCGTTTTCGGCGCTGTGACTCTTCCTGCTGTTGAGAAATCGAGCTTTGAAAATCGGCCCAGGGGGTGTGTTATCTTGTGTCATATACGGTACATGACTCCTTCCGGCGTGTGCGTGCCATCATCCTAAAGCGGTAGATACCACGTGACAGGAGGCCGTAGACTACGTACAATATGTACTTCCTCAACCATCTTGAGACCGCGACAACGGTCTTGAGAACGGGCTGGCGCAGCGCAGGCGTCGACGTAGGCGGCGGCACCTTTCTGGTGGTTCGACCTCCCCAACAGTAGCTACATGAAAGGCCCCATCAGATTCGCCCGAACTTACATGAACCTGCTGCGGTGACAGCGGCTGCTCTGTTCAAGGTCCAGTTCCCTTCGAGCGGGCGAAGATGGTCACACCGGCCTGTCGACCGAGGACTTCTCCGGCATCAGGAACTGCCCCCTTCTCCCCACCCCGGGATGGACGTTGTCTGGTTGTCTCGTTGTGGTCTCGCGTGTGTAGAGTGCGGTGGGGTGTATGGCGCTGTTGCGAGATCGGCCACAGGGCACAGGAACACAGAAACACAGGAAGGCGGAAGATCCGGAAGAAGAAACAAAAAAATGCTACCGAACCTACTAGACTATTGGTTCTTGCGGGGAGGGCGTAGATGGAACATAGCGTCGGCGGAGCCCCCCGTATCGTCCCTCGGCTGCAGACGACTGCAGACTGCAGCAGAGCAAATAATCAAACAACCCACCTCTTCTACACCCAGATCCTCCCCTCTACTCTCCCCACCTCCTGCCGCGCGTAACGAGGCAGAGCAGAGAGTTATTCGTCTAGGCTCCGGCATCGCGCATCTCCGTCACCGGGAGGATCGATTTTTCGGCGGGAAGGAAGGGGTGTAGACTTACAGGCTTGCAGGACATCAACTTCCCCGAAAGATGGAACCGAGCATCGAAAAGGAGCTGCCCCGGGCTGACCTCGCCAAAGTCGAAGAGTTCGAGAGCAAGCGTTCCGGGTAAGTGTAGGCTATGGATGGCGGTGGCGTAGCTGTCGCGGCGCTGTTCCTGCGGTCCGCGAATTTGTCCGTCTCCCTCGAGAGTAAAGCCAGCACACGGGCTACTCGCTGTCCTCACAACCCGCGTAGGACGCCGAATCAACGCGGAGGGCGGGGAGACCGAACATGAGTCAAACTTGTCCAACAACAGCAGTATACCACACCATTGTCGTCGAATTTGTGTGGAAATGCCAACCCCCGAGCCCGGTAGTGAGCACGGCTGCTGCCTTCTGCTCAACCACTTCATGTTTCTTCTGCCGTTGTTGGAACGCCTGTGAGAGAACGAAGTTGATGTTCGGTTCATTTTTTTTAGAAAGAAAACATTTTTTGTAATGTTTTTGGGGACACACCAGCGCGTCCGTCCCTATCGTCGATTCAGCTTTTTTTTTTTTTCTTCTAAATATGACCCAACGAATCCGTCTTTATCTAGAAAAAGAGTCTAAGATAGATTAGCATTGAATAGCGTCAAAGAAAGCTTGCTACCTGTATTTCCACGGTTTCCCGAGCAGCACACAGCGATATCTTCCCTGTGGGTTTTTGCGCGGTGTTGTTTTAGAATCTTCATATTTCAACAGAGCTGTGTACAGAAGAAACAAAACAGACACTGCCGTTTCATTCACCCGCGGACCTCTGCTTCGACCTCATGAAGCCAACATAGCGAGAACAGGCCCATCATGTTTATCGTTTTCTTTTTTCAGCGGGGCCCGGGAACCAGGACCCCAAACAACAAGTTGTTCACTAGCTCACTTGTGTTCACATTTCTCATCTTCAAGTATTGACAACAGACATAATAGACATGATAGAAGCGACTAAAGCACACACACACAACACCGATGGCGTTTGATTGGTCAGCCGATTAGCGCGGTCGATACTAAGTAATGGCTTCATTATAACAATAATAAAGACACGCGTTCATCTCGCACATATACTACAATACTGCTGTAGATTTCCGGAATGTAATGGTAAGGAGGAACATCAGCTCGGCTCAGCCGCAGACGCCAGCTCGGTCTTCGTGTGACAGATCCTGCTGCCAGAGGGAGAGATTGGCACTAACCCCCCCCGTCGACGTGTACCGTATTCGCATCACACATCCCTCTCAGCCCACGCCGACACCGGCCACAGCCACGACCGCGGGAAGATTAAGATTGCCACCTGCTCATCAGAGAACCGTTCTCCGGGTGACCTCTGCTACAGCCGTTCAATAGTACCTCAGCCTTGAACGGCTCTCTTTCGAAATCGACAAAGTATTTCCGTGGTCATAGGTTCACCCACAGATCCTTACAGGTGCGCACTGCTGTTAGTCACCAACCAGGCGAACAACCCCCCTGTTACATTCTGGTTTTGCCTTGACTGTTTGGCACCTTGCTCTTCCGCACACACAGAGATTTATAGGTGTTTATGTTGGGGTGTTGAGGTACTTCCTGCCACACAGGAGCCGACGAGAGTCCTTCTCGACAATGGAAAGTCAGGCTACAGCAGTACGCCCGCGCCCGTATTACCACTAACTACAATGGTCGAACAGACGCGTGCACATTCATCCATGGTGTAGGGACTGGGGCGGCAAGAATAACCTGGAACAAAAACAGTAAAGTTGATGGTTCGGGAGGCATGCTTCGCGGGTCCACAATTCGAACATGCCCGACGATAGAGACAGAGAGAGCTCTTAGCTGTACCGCGTTGTCGTTCGAGGGCAACACAATAGCAGTGGTCGCTGTCGAAATGTGGGCGTCATTGTACGGCGCGGTGTCCCGGGGTGGGGGGTGGGGATATTGCGGAGGGTAGACGCTGAAACGAGAGTAGCGTGCACATGAAGCCCGAAAAGTACCCGTCTACCAAGCGCTTTCCGTATCGCGGACGAACAACAATAGCAACAGGTTCGCGGGTGAGTAACGAGACTCGCATGCAATATGTCTCAGAGAAAGTTGACCGTCCAGCAAACGTATCGCGGATGAAAAACAACAACAGGTACTTCGCGGATGAGTACCGCAAGTCCTCCATGTACTGGTCAAGCCTGTGCGACGTCATGAGCGCGAACGACGGGCCCACTCAGCAGGTGGGTACTCGGTGATGACTGGGCTGGTTTTTTCCACACGAGTTGTATGTGCAAAGTAGACGTTGCGTTGATTCCTCTCTTTTCTGGCACCCACCATTATCATCTGTCGCTAATTAGGATTTGTTGATAAAGCCACATCGATTTGTGTGGATGTGGTTTGCTTGTCGGAGCCACCAAGAGCGGGCGCCACGCAGGCGAAGGTTAAGGTTTGTTGTAGACAGCAATGTATGAGTGTGTGGGAGCGTTGAGCTCATGCCATCGCAGTGGCGGGCGCCGGCGTGTGACCCAAGGTTTGGTGTACGACCGCGTGGCATTTTGTCGACGTCTTCCTCGTCTCGTTTGACTCGGCCTGGGCTGAACAGGTGCCGACTACCCGGGCAGCTTTGCTTGCCCTTTATTGGAAGCTGAACTGCGGCAGCTTCTCTTGCCGTTTCCAATAGAAGCTAGTAGAATCACCCTCTTAACTCCGGGGTCGGGTAATATGGTGGTGTAATACTTTTGTCGCTGCTGTTCTTGGCTCTGATGACTCGGCAGGTGCTGTCGTATGTTGCGGGCAAGCTGGAGGCGGACCGCATTAACACCGCGGCCATCTTCGTCAACGCGGACAAGGTGTTCGGCGAAAAGAAGGGTGCCACCAAGCTGAGGTGCGTTTGCAAGCAGTGGGGGTGTCTGTTTAATGCCGGCGTGTTGGGGCGGGAATCACCCAAGTCGTTCCGCGCTTTCTATAGCGCCGGTGTCCGGAGTAGGGCCGGCCAACTTTCTCTTGTACTTGCCGGCACTAAACAGGTCTGCATGCCGTGAGTAGTAGTTTTGCGATCTTGTGCCCTATCCCGGCGGCGTTGTTTCGAGGGGGGAGGAACGGGC